TCAGCTTTTGAAGTATAAAGTCCGTAGAAAAGACAATTAATTTATTTTAGGAAGTGAATAATCACACCTTCGCATGGCCTGCTTGCTAGGGAAGTGGTAGGGTATGTCTTGTAGGAGTCCATACACTCCTCCCGCCAAGCAGATTTTAAACTTTCGCTACTGTATATTCCACAACCATTCAGTCCATCGGCACGTTGGTTTGGGTTTTAAAAAACCCGAAGGTTGTATTCTCAGATCTGTTGTGCCTCTTCAGTCACGCACACCGGTCTTTGAAGCAGAATAGCTTTCCTGGTGAAGGGACATAACCTGAATTGCCTCTTTTAACTCAGAGTTACGAGCCCTTATATGGTTAGACTCAACGCACAAGGTTGGACAGCTGGATTTCTCTACTGTCTGAAAGATGTTGGGGACGGAACACTTTTGGAAATACAGACCCAGCTATGCAGGCGACAGCATCAACTTCAACATAATTCTTACAAATCAAAGCCTCAAATTCTACCTCCACTGCGACCAAATTCTGTTCGCTGGATTTTTCTGTCTACTAGAAAGGACGAACATCCTCCTAGTCTCACTGGGACCTGCTCCTCGCAGTGTTCTGTCTTCAAATAATCACGAATGCTTAATAATGTCTTCGGCTTAACCAATCCACAACTTTCATCTTTTTCACCTGCTGGCTCCATAATTCTCTATTACACTATGCAATAGATGCTGCGTGGACTCGGAGTCAAACACTTGCTTCGCAAAACTTATTATGTCCAGAAAATCAAGAAGGCAGTGCATCGGCCTGCATGCTGTATCGTAGGAGCATTCAGCTGAGTCTACTATAGGATCCAAATTGTTGGGAAATGTTCATCGTCGGTGGTCAGAGCCTTGAGCACATGAACAGAAAGATCAATAATGCAAGACAATTGAGAGGTGACCCACGGGCTACTTGCTAGGCCAGATTTCGCCCGCTTGCCGCCGGCTGAACAACCCTGCAGTTTCGTCTGTACACCCATGTAAAATGCCCACAACTTTCTTCTGCCCCTGCTTAGATTCTACTATCACCTGGTTTATGATCTCAGTATGAGTAAGGTTTTGATCACAAATGTATCACCCGGTACTTTATTGACTGCGTTCTTCACACAACCCGAAACACAATAGTATAGTTTGTGTACATATTGTTGGTTCCTCAGGCAGAAGCTCTCCTACTTCAAGGAAGCAATAAATTAGTAGGTTGTTACGACATGCTTGTTAAGGATGCCGTGGCTCTATTCTTGTTTTCTTCTCAACTGGACCCTGGAACCCACACTGGGAGCATAACTAACAATAAGCGTCTTCTGATCCATCACAGCATACTTTAAGCCATACAAAAGTCTTTTTCTAATTACTCTTGTATTTACGACTGCTGTGACATGGTTGTTTCCGTTTTATTTTGTCGCTATATTTAAAGATTCCCTGCCAAATTCAACACACACATACACATACACGCACACTGGCACACACGCACACACACACAAACACACAAACACACACACAAAGATAACAGGACGTTGGACGATTTTTTTGTCTTCAAATTTTGAGTTAGCAAGCCTGCTTCAAAGAGTTTGAGGCTGGAAATAAAGCTAATCACTTTTTATAATTTTTAGCATTGGGATTTTGTTTGTTTTGTAAACAATACGAACCAAAAACAAATTTACAAAAAACAAAAAAAAACGATACTATGCGTATCTACGGATATGTACTCGGAATCACACACATTTTAAAGGAAAATGAAGGTTTATTGCATAGGAAAAAGGTCACACATTTTAGAAAAAAATTCCAAAACTTTTTTTCCCCTTCTAGGCCGACCGCTTAAAAATAGGCCTCATGTCTGGAATCTGGTAACTCCATGAGGGATAGGCTATCACATCAATCACCACGCATCGCTGCACATATGAACTGACCAGAACACACCCTATGCTTTATTTGTAGAGCAAACAATTTGTCTGCTCAATTGTGAAGGGATACAACAGTTAGTAACATGGAAAAACGTGGAGTTAAAATCTACGCAAAGTATTTCAGGATCCTAGCCAGTGCAATGGAGTTTGTGCACTGCGCTGAGATTCCTAAGACTCAGGCTTGAGTTAGAAGTAGAACGGAACACTAATGGGTTACACCCGTGTGTCATGATGTTGATCTGTCGAAAACATATAAACATAAACCTCAAGACATGGACAATCTAAGACAACCAATGCGCTTTTGTCAGTACAGGATTTTATCAAGATTTGTGTTCAAGTGTGAGGGCATGAAATTAGAAACGCACTGTATTTGTGAACCAACCGTTTACAGAGTAAATCTTCTGCTTCTTCTCGTTCACCTGCTGTAAACTCTGACGGAAAGTTTTTTTTGTTTAGCCACTTTTAGACTGCAGTCCTGTTCCGGATTCTGAGACGTGTGCATCTGTTTTACATATCAAACTCATTTGTATGCAGACTGCTGGTTCCTTGCCGCTCAGGTAGATACACTCCGACTTTGAAGGCAGTGGAACTATTCTTATTTTCCCCGGAACCCATACTGATAACAAATTAAGTGTAAACGATAAACTTACAACTGCATCAAATAAAATGCTTTCTATTTGTTCATGCAGTGTTCTAAAAAACGTCATTACCACTTACACGAAACAAATGTATTCATTTCAGGTAACTCGCGATCAGTTGCAAATGAACCATGCAACATTGCGTATCAATGCCCGGACACCAGCTACAAACCTGTGTGTGGGAATGATACTGTGACCTATCACAATGATTGCTACATGGTGGCTGCTACCTGCTCTCGAGTGGCGGTTCTTTACCCCGGCAAGTGTATTGGACCAGACACCCCTCCTGCTTGTCGGCAAATCCCAGCTTGTGATTCCATTGACCAGCCAGTCTGTGGAAGTAACGGGGTCACCTATGATAACGATTGTTACTTCAGGGCACAGACGTGTGGAACAGGCATCACAATTAGACGTAGAGGGGAATGCCTGCCACCCACCCCTCGTCCTCCATGCGACCCTAACAGAGCCTGTAATTTGCTTTATGACCCAGTGTGTGGAAGCAACGGCGTCACCTATGGTAATCAGTGTTCCTTTGAAGGACAAACGTGTGGAACAGAAATCAGGATTGCACACAGAGGGAGATGCACTACAACCCCCACTCCTGATGTCTGAACCTGAAGCAGTTCAGCGTGTCTTCAAGACTACCCACACAAGTGTGTAGGTGGCATTATCAATAATAATCTTTTCATTCTTCAGTCATGGCCATGTATTACACTTGTAGAACTTGAAATGTAATATTTGTAGTAGCAGCAGCAACAGCGGTAGAAGTAGTGGAAGTAGGATTAGTAATATGAGTAATAAAAGAGTTATTGATGATGCCTGTTCAATCCTATAGGTTCTACTTTATATAGCCGTTGTCTCTTCTGGTGTAGGATATTTAGACTTGTCCATTAATTCTAGCTATTTCATTCTCCATATATTATCTCTTTATATTAACAGATCCTCTCTTCTTTTTCTTCTTCTGCTTCTTTACTTTTACCAGCTGTAAACTCCAGTTCTGGTTGCTCGTTCACTTCTGGATTTTGGTCCTGTGCTAGGACTAGGGCTTTGAGTGCATATCTGTCTTATAGATCTGACTTTATTGCGTGCATACTTTTGGTTGCTCACATCTCAAGCATATGCACTCCGACATCAAAGGTAAACTGTAACAGATCCTACAAAGATAGATTATAAAAACTTTAGTATTACTGAGTTTGATGAAGTTAATCGACGACCACACACCTTATTAGATTATATTCTGTGAAGACTTCTTTGCTGAAAAAAAAAAAAAAATTGTAATTTACATCTCAGGGCACGGAATGTATGCCGACTTCTCATAGATAAAAACTTTCATTTATCGATCGAGCCAATTGAATGAATTATAGCTGCATCATATGTATCAATCTAGAATATTTTTAATGCTAGGAGAAAGTTATTCATTTATACTTTAAGATTTAGTTCTTCTTTTTTTTTTTACATGCTGATGTGAAAAGGGAACCTTCCAAAATTAACTGTGATGGTTTTAATGCAAATAAACTAGTCGTTTCAGGTGAAAATTACAGATTCTTTGTTTTATATTACATTGTGTGTGTGTGTGTATGTGTGTTTGTAAAGCCTGTTTATTTATAATATTGTTGAATGCCTACAGACATAAAGTTCTTTATTACTTGGACGCAGTGGTACTTCTGCTGCTTCAACTCTTTTAACTACCGGGAAACGACACAAAATGTGATGGTACGAACATGTTATAAGAGCTAACGGCCTCTCAAAACAACACTACAGAGCTCACTATAGTGGAAGAGGTCAACAGGCAGACCAACAACAACTTGTAAACAGAAAGTGACTGACTGGACATGCATCCATAAAATCCATTGCATCTGACAGTCAAATGTGAGGGAGCTGATCAGACAAGGCCGTCTGTAACTGAAGGGTCGTGGAGCTGATAACGTCAGCTTGATGTGACGTCACCACTTCGGGCTAACGATGCTATCGCCATTACGCTGATAGTCCCGTCTTTTCCGTGTGTTTCCGTATAAACTCCCCACAAAAAATTATATGAATGAGCTCGACAATAGAACATGTTTACTGGTATATACACAGATACATGCTAAAAGCGAACGCTAGAGAAACATAATTTATAATTAATAAATTAATGAATTAGAGTGGCTTATACAGTTGATAGGCTTATGTAATCTTATCTTTTTAAAGTGTGTTAGTTCCTTAATGAAAAAAATGAAAATCAATTCTAGATGTGGGGGTTGGGGGGGGGGGGGGTGGGTGCTGACTTGCTTAAGATGTCTAATTTTCAGCTCAAGATAGACAGAACAACAAAATAAACAGACAGTACAACAGAAACTATTAAAATTTTTTCTGGTGTATATCCACCTAATTTAATAATAAGTAGTGAATGAACTTAGTCATCTACTGGCTGTACTACTTACGTCATCCACTCAGCCAATATTGTGTATCTGGTATACTATTGACATCTTCCACTGATCCAAGACTGTGTACCTCGTGTACTACTGATGTCATCCACTGAGGTGCGACTGTATCTGGTATACTATTGACATCTTCCACTGATCCAAGACTGTGTACCTCGTGTACTACTGATGTCATCCACTGAGGTGCGACTGTATCTGATGTACTACTGACACCATCCACTGATCCAAGACTGTGTACCTCGTGTACTATTGATGTCATCCACTGAGGTGCGACTGTATCTGATGTACTACTGACACCATCCACTGATCCAAGACTGTGTACCTCGTGTACAATTGATGTCATCCACTGAGGTGCGACTGTATCTGGTGTACTACTGACACCATCCACTGAGCCAAGACTGTGTACCTCGTGTACTATTGATGTCATCCACTGAGGTGCGACTGTATCTGGTGTACTACTGACACCATCCACTGAGCCAAGACTGTGTACCTCGTGTACTATTGATGTCATCCACTGAGGTGCGACTGTATCTGGTGTACTACTGACACCATCCACTGAGCCAAGACTGTGTACCTCGTGTACTATTGATGTCATCCACTGAGGTGCGACTGTATCTGGTGTACTACTGACACCATCCACTGAGCCAAGACTGTGTACCTCGTGTACTATTGATGTCATCCACTGAGGTGCGACTGTATCTGGTGTACTACTGACACCATCCACTGATCCAAGACTGTGTTTCTGGTGTACTGCTGACATTATCCACTGAGCCAAGACTGCGTCTCTGGTGTACTATTGACATCATCCACTGAGCCAAGACTGTGTGTCTGATGTACTACTGACATCATCCACTGAGCCAAGACTGTGTATCTTGTGTACTGCTGACATCATCCACTGAGCCAAGACTGAGTATCTGGGGTACTGCTGACATCATCCACTGAGCCAAGACTGTGTTTCTGGTGTACTGCTGAAATCATCCACTGAGCCAAGACGGTGTCTCTGGTGTACTGCTGAAATCATCCACTGAGTCAAGACTGTGTATCTGGTGTACTGCTGACATAATCTTTTGTTT